TACTACTACTGTTACTACTACTACTCTTGCCGCAGGCCAGGGGAAGAAGTTCTGGGTCGGATGCAACTGCTGCCTCAGTGGAGTCGACAAGACGATGCTTTCCGAATTTCAGAACCGATGCAGAGAACGTCTTGCACAGCTCACGGCGGAATGGGCAAGAAACGGGCCTACGAAAGAGACACTGTGGATGGTGTTGCGATTACACTGCGTGGTCTACTACGGCCAGGACACCTTTCACCATCTGCTGTTGGGGCCAGACTCGTACTTCAGAGGCGTGTGAGAGTACATGTGCAGGAGCAGGATTAAGACCGCAGGGTTGGGTCATGTGCGGGCAAAATCGAGACCTGCAGTTGATTTTGGGGCATTGGGCATGTGCTTGCCCATCAACTTGGCGAGGTCGCAGCGATGATTTCCTAGAGGTGGCACAAGCGCCTTTCTGGAAGTACTTGGCAGGTCCGACGCTTGCATCTTCCGTTACATCACACTTCCCAACACGTCGCCGCTTCGACCATGATATGTAGACCAGGAATGCTCAATGCAACAACTCTCCTGCCCAAGCATTTCATTTGGTTGCCAATTACCAAAAATCGCTCTTACCCTAAACCCTAAACCCGCCCTTTTTCAGGCCTCTTCGGCAACGATGTCAACGAGGTTGCCCGCAAGGTCCTCGGCGGCAGAGGCTCGGAGTGTCTCGAAGCACGGGTGTGCGTGGTGTTCTCCACGCGTCGTTCTGCTGAGTTGTGAGTTTTGTTCGCGGCGGTTCGTTCAGCAAGTGACTTACTGCCGAGTTGAGAAGCTTTAGCCGGATAGAGAGCTATGGGTGCAGCCGCCCAGCCTGGCTGTCCAGCAGATGCTTTTGAAGAACTAGGAGCCCGATGCAGGTGCAGAATGGCGACCTCATCTGCGAGACCTTGTTGACGCGCATGTGAACAGTATTCCAGAGGTTGCACTGCCCCTTCTGAAAGGACTTGGCAGCTTAGTTGAAGTGAGGGGACGCTTCTTGACGGGGTCGGCAGCTTGGTTGAAGCAGTCGGGACAAGCTCCCCCCCACACCCCAAGCCTTCAAATCCGGAGCCCTAAACCCTAAAACCCCAAGCTTTGATGAACCCTAAACCCTAAACCGGGAGCGTGATTGTCCTGCAGTTGGGCTGTTTTCGGACTCAGGTCAAGCCTGGGAGCATCAGAACTCAGAGGAGCCCGTGGGTTCAGGGTTTTGGGTTTTGGGTGTAGGGTTTAGGGTAGGGGGTTTAGGGTTTAGGGTGTGGTGTTTGGGGTTTAGGGTTTTGGGTTTTGGGTTTTGGGTGTAGGGTTTAGGGTAGGGGGTTTAGGGTTTAGGGTGTGGTGTTTAGGGTTTAGGGTTTTGGGTTTTGGGTTTTGGGTGTAGGGTTTAGGGTAGGTAGAGTACCGGGCACCGGGGAGCAGCTCCGATTTCACTTGTGTTCAGTCCTTTCGCCCCTAACGAAAGCCTAAACCCTAAACCCTAAACCCGAGAGAGGAGCTGATTCAGACGTTTCTCCAATATCTCTCAAAGTACCTGGATGCTGGTGGCAGTGACAGGGAACTCAGCGAGGTCCGACACGGAAGATGTCCACCTGGTTCAGGGTTACAGCTTTGGGTCCCAGGCCGTTGCGTTTAGGCTTAGGTCCATTCGGATCAGCCTACCAGGCACTAAGAGCTAATCGCATTCCAAAATTATGATCTCAGCGCCTCGTGTTCAACTAGGACCACAATGCACTGCAGGGTTTACGTAATCAGTCTGCATGTGATCTGTGTGCTCAACTTCAAAGGGAACTTCCAGTTCGTCCCTAATCCCTGCACCCTGAGTCCATAACATGCCAAACGGCAGATAGATGACACAATGGGTGATAATGAAAGCTATAACACGATGTTGTTCAGTAGCCACAGAAGTGGCAATCATCTGTGTCGTGACTATCATCTTGACAAAGGAGAGAGCTAGAATGAACAATACTGGGCGAAGTAACGATACTGCCGGTAGTGTAAACGTGATAATAACTCGAACTGTGACTATATCCGTGCCACTTGTTGCCATAGGAGTATTCGTCGTCGTCGGCGTAGTCGTTGTCGATGTAGTCGTCGTCCAAGTACCAGCCGTAGTCGCCCATGCATTAGTACGAGAAGACGTAGTCATGGCAGCAGCGCTAGAGTAGCAGTGGCAATAGTAGCAGCAGTAGAAGAAGAAGTAATGCTAGTCACTAGTCGTCGCCGTAGTAGTTTCTTTAGTAGTAGCAGCAGTCGAAGTAGTCGTCGACGTCGTCGTAATAGTTTGAGGTTTTCGTAGTAGGAGTAATAGCAGCAGACAGTAGTCGAAGCTAGCAACAAACCAAGTGAACAACCATTCCGCGGGTTATGACCGTGACCACGGAGAAAATCCACGTAGCTTCCAGCATCGACGCCTTCAGCCGCCACGCAATAGAGCCCAGAGCACCAAACTATTGAAAACCCCGCCTAAACCCTAAACCCTAAACTTTAAACCCTCTGCCCTAAACCCGATAAATCCCAAGCCCTGTAAATCCTAAACCTTAAACCCTATAGAGCAAGGAGAGCTGAACTCGGGAAACGCAGAGTCTGACCTGCCAGGTGATGGAAGCGATCCCGAAAGTCCAAGCCGATCCTCGCACGAAGAAGGCTACAGAGCTCGAGCGAAGCAAAGTCTTGTGGGTTTAGGTTGAAAATCGTTGAAACTCGTAATCAAGTAAGAAACCGGAGAAGAATAGAGAAAGAAACCACCGGTCTGCATTTTTGTAATCATGGTAAGTTAAAGTAAGTTCGTTAATGACACGAGTCTAGAGTCTAGGGCCTAGGGTAGAGGGCAAGCATTCCAGGTTTTGGGGTGTGCTTGAGGCTGAGGAATCTAACTTCAGGGTTTGGTGAGCAGTGTTAGGGTTCAGGACCACTGCGAGAGCCCTCAACCCTGTGCCCTACACTCTGAAATGCTTCTAGGGCTCGTTGCTAGACCCCTCAAGGTTCAAGAGTGTGTGTGCCAGTATGTACAGTTCACTATGTGCTGAGAAGCTGCAAGCTAAACCTTGTTGAAAGATTATTGTCTGGACTTTAATTGGATAAACATTTTACGGCATATTGTACTATAACGGCAGCAAGGTGCCCTTAGAATGGTGTTGGTATTTGTTTAGGCCTTTCTATTAAGCGAGAAGCCCCGGGTCAACGGCAAACCTTGACCCGAACGCTGAAAACCCTTCAGGGTTCAGGGTTTAGGGGTTTACGGTTCATGGTTTAGGGTTTGATTTAGGGTTTAGGGTTTGATTTAGGGTTCAGAGTTTAGTGTTCGGGTTTGATTGAGGGTTTAGGGTTTAGGGCTCTCAGCCTGTTTGTTCCAGGAGCTGCAGAGTTGCAGGGGTCCAGCACAAGGTCGGGTCTGTCGACACAAGATTTGGCGCTTGAGGTTTTCAGGTCCTTGGGATTGCGGGAGTCAGGACTTTTGACGGACGGGCTTTAGGGCCCCAAGCTATGTGTGTTCTGCCCCTGCGCAGGAGGGGCCTCGTGGGTCCGTGGTTCAGACAGCTTTTGAGCATCGTGATTGCGTCCGGATCGAGCTTCCAGGATTTCTATTGCGGGAGCTTCCGGGGTTGTTCGATGTTCTTGGTCCTCGAGGGTTCAGGCGAATCGCATAGGCGGCCAAACCCTAAACAGACAGGAACAATGAAGATAGACATTGCAATTGCAAGGCCTTCGTGTGCACATCTGCGTCCGTGGACAGATAGTGGTCTACAATGGCTTTCAAGCGGGAGCTAAGCAGCTGGGCGAGTTGTGTGCCACCATTCTGGCATGCCCGAATCCCCGGCTCCAAACCATCGTTAGGTGCCACATACTGCCACGGCCTCCATACTCAGAACTTGTCTCCGGAAAGTCCAGAAATGCGGGGCCCTAAACCCTAAACTCTACTCCCCTAGACCCTAGACCCTAAACCTGAACCCTAAACCCTAAACCCTAGAGGGGAGTGTCACTGCGAGCAGTTCGCAGCAACCCTTTAGCTGGAAACCTGAAACTGGAAGCCGTAACTCAACTCTGAGTCATCCTAAATCCTAATTAAAGCCTAACTGCCTCTAAGCCTCAAGAGGAAATCCTTGAGGGAACCCCAAACCCGAAACCCTAAACCCTACACCCGAAACCCTAAACCCTCTTTTCCTATATATATTTAAATGTTCAGCA